CCCCCCCCCCCCCCCCCCCTCCAACACCCACAATTGTGTGACTTTTCACAAAGTCTGTGTATGTGTCTGTGTGAAGCGCAGTATTAAAATACAGATGGAATATCAGCATAAATAGCCGTTGTTGTTTTTTCAATATGCAAATATAATATTTGACTCATATATGCAAATATTATGCGATTCTCCCCAATGTCATGTCAGGAATAAACGCTGTAAATACAATTTTTTTAGATCCATTAATTCCTCAGATGTGTTTGGCTCAGTTGTAAATTAGCTATTTGGAGGTATTTAAAAAATGTTAGCTTCTCTATGGTTGTTGGATGAACATATTAAATATCAAATATACAGAGATAATGAAAGTATAATTAAAATGATACATTGTGAGTAAGATTCTGTTTAGCCAATGAACTATATTCTACAGCCTCTCGCCCATTTGTTCACAATAATGATGAAGACGAACTGATATGAATGCTGTTGTGGAAAACTGTATCATATGCTCGTATACATGACGTCTTACTGAGGAAGTAGTTTTGTCCCAGAGGCAGCGAGCGGTCTCGCACCACCAATCCATCGGGAGCCTGCAGGAACCACATTGTAGTGCCGTTCAAAATGGAGGAACGGAGGAAACCCTCTTCATTCACACGCCACAGCACTGGAGCTCCACTGGCATTCACCACCACCCTAGTTGGAGAGATGAAGCAGGGGAGGGAGGGATGGAGGACGAGGACATGAACGGGTAAGAAGAATCAGAGAGAATATGTGATTATTGTAGACTTTCTCTACAGTTTGGACCAAAGCACAAATTTACAGCGATCGATGATCCCTTTTTAATTGGTGGCAGTTCTCAGCTGCTCTTTTAGCTTTTGTACTGCAGGTCTGCAGTATTCACAGTTTGAATAATGGATGGTACCAGACAAAATATATCGAAAGCGCCAAATATAAGAAACACAAACTGCACCATTATTATTTTGTACATCCAGAGAACACTTGATTCATCTTCCCCAGACATCTTGAACTAAAATGCAAACAAAATCAGCATGAAAGTTAAGATAAATGAACTCATCCTCTATGTGAACTTCTCTACTTCTTCTAATCCTTATTTCAGTCAATTTAAGAAGATTAATGAAACATCGACCTCCATTCTCCACTCATGTCGGTCAGCAGCAACACAGCAAGCTGACAGTCAGGGTCTTACTGGTTGGACACTTTGTCCCGTGTCTGAACCCAGCCTGATTGTTACTCCAACCTGGCATCATGGGCAGGTCTGGGGAGTAATGGCTGTCAGGGGTTCGGCCCAGTGGGGGGTGGTGTTGAAACACTGTGACCCTCTTGAACACGAGTTGTGAAATACAGGCAGTGTCGTCGGAGGCTATCCTTCATCAGGACCTCATGACAATTTGTACAAAATAGTGAAAACCAAGACGGACCAAATAGAAACTGGAAAAGCAGCAGGTTCAACATGGAGAGAGATTGAAAGAAGAGAGAGAGCACAAACAAAGTGTGGGCACTTTGATACTTAAAATAAAATTGCAGTCCATTTTTAATGCTGCTGCAATGTAATGCCCTTAACTTTGGTCTCTCCTCCACATGCCGTGAAGAAGTGATCAGACATAAAGACCAAATGGGCAGTAGCCATTAAATTTATTGACCATATTCATGATCCTCATGAGATAAACCCTTTCCATTCTGGACTTACCTCTAGCGCCAACCGCCAGGTTGTCAAAAGGGATGAATCAGGATATTTACTTATAAACATTCTGATATATCTTTAATGAGGAAAAAATTGGATACGTCTAAGTAAAGAAACAATATATTGTTATGCTTGTATCTGTAATCTTCTGCAGTGGTGACAACCTCTCTCTCTCTCTCTCTCTCTCTCTCTCTTACTCTCTCCAGCTCCTTGGGGACACAAGAGCTCCTTTACATTATTATCAGCCTCTAAATTTGGATCATTGCTTCATTTCCAAGTGGTTCATTTGTGTTTGTATACGAGTGTCCTTTACTAACTGTGTTCAGGTGCCGTGTGTAATTATACAGTATGAAAACAAAGCAGCAGCAGTTGATTAATGCCTAGTGTACACTACATTACTTAAACAATGATTTTCGGCTCACTGACAGATCAGAGGCAAATCTGCGTTGGCTCGCCGCTCGAGTGCCACGTGTGAACTGTTGAGCCGAGACACTCGCCGGTGCATCGCATTCCAGATATCTGGCACGCTGTATATGCTAGATATCTGGAACGCTAAATATCTGGATCTATTGGGGATTCTGTCGGGGAGATACAGTCAATGGGAGCGGAAAAAAAACGGGTTGAGGGAAAACCTGGAGAAGTCGCCTCGCCTGAAGCCTTCCTCTGTGAGCCATGTGTTGCATTCGCTTGGAAAGTTGTTGTTGGTGCACCTATAGGGTGTTGGATGCTTAAACGATTAAAGATATAACACTGACTCGCCTACATAAGGGAAATAGTAAACGTAGTTTGGAGATCTCATCGGGATTCCAGGATTTTGTAGTGTGTGACCCCTGGCTGCCGGTCAGTCATGTAGTGTGAAAAGGGGCAACATCATGGACATCCAACATTCACCTTGACCGTTGCCTCTGCATTATTTATTGACCCTTATTTACGGAACCATTATAATTCAGTTTAATAGCAAAAATGCTCTAAAAAGATGGAGTACACCTAGAGTGGTGTAATGCAGGTAATACAGCGTCTCAGGTCTCAGAAGTGGGTCATAAAGAGATTCAAATGGAAGGTTATTAGTTGCAAAAAGCTACGTAATGTTGCCAACAAAAGTTGCTGCATGAGAGGTATGCAGATAAAATGCTGTGCAAAGTAATTTCTATCGTATTTTCTTTTCATTGTGGTGATTATGCAGACAATATTCTGCACAGCATGCTCTGTTGTTATTCTTGTTGATTAGGATCCAAAATGCAGGGTTCATTTTGTAGGTTCAATTCTGGGAGTTTGTGTTCTTACTCAACACCAAACTGAGAACCACTGGATCACTGACTTACTCTGGTTGAAATTGTCATGCCTGTTGTCATCTGTAACCACAGTTACCTCAACTAAATTCACAAACAACTGTTTTATTCTATTATTAAAACAACAACAACATGATATCAGCCTCATATTCATGGCTGTCCTGCTCTAAATATCGGCTTCGCACATTGAATAACCCATATTGCTCAACCACTAGACCAGAACAGGTGCACTTTTACACCACTAACGTAATGCCGCATTCACATTAAAAGGGTCAGACTTTAATTACGAGCAGCGGAGACGGAAAAACTGTCATTCACCTAGTTGTAATTCAGAGATATTTGGGAATTTCTGACAGATAAGATATCTCCGACTTGGTGAAAAGAGCTACATTAGAGTCAACATGAGGTGAACTTAATAAAGTGGAGGTCAACATGATTCTCAGTTGGTGTTGACATTACATTTAATAGAAGAGTGCTCTATTAAAAGAGGTCCTGCACAACCACACAGGTGTTTTCACTTATTCTGGCTGATTACACCTATGCTCTGGTTGGAGTTAATTATTCCGCCTGATAATAGAAACAATTAACGTGTAACACAGCTAGAATTAGAAAAATAACAGGAGAGTCCATCAAGCACAGTCTGTACACACCTACCCAGTCCTGAGAGGTGGTCCAATTAAGCGTAAGTGAAATCACCTGTGTGAGTGGACTAATGGGGTTTAGGGCCTTTGAGTACCAAATATTCACTTCCTAATTGATATACACTTTTTGTCGTTGATTATTTACTTTATTGTTTTGGCTCTGGGTTGCTTTTGGAATCGACTGTAATTACCGTTTATCCAAAGGCGTAAGCTACAGGCTGTCACTCAGAGGCATCTTTCATTTAGATACTGTACAATGCAAAGAGAGTGGGAGAAACTGGGCATTAATAGGGGGCCCACAGCAACATTTGGCCCCGGAGCCCCGGCTGGTTAAACTGGCCCTGCTTTAAGAGGAGAGCAGTCAGTCATAAAAGTTACTCTTACTTTACAGCTGTTTCTTCGGGCACTTCCAGAGACAGAGTCAGGGTTCCTGATGTCAGCTCACACAGCTCAGGACTCACACAGTGCAGACCCTCCGTCACCTAAAGCACGCGCACACGCACACACACACATAGACACACACACACACACACACACACACACACACACACACAACATATGTTATGCATTTTAAAGATAAACCCACAGGAGCTTAAATTGAGCGTGGAAGTTATCTCACTCTGTCTGCCTCCCACGGCACCACCAGCAGCCTCTGCCCAGGTTTGGGTTGCCATGGCTGCAGGGTGGGGGGTGGCGGCGTTGTGGTGGAGGGGATGGTGGAGGGGACGGTGGAGGAGATGGTGGTTGGCTGTGGCGGCTGAGTGGCGGCCGTGGTGATGGAGGCGACAGGGGTGGCCAGTTCAGGCCCGGAGGGGGTGGCGGGGTCCCACTCGGCAGCCGGCAGGTCCAAAAGGATCTGATCGCACCTCTCCCCCTCGTAGCCTTCGGTGCACTCACAGGTGTAGGCCGGTTCCCCCTCCTCCCCGCCGTCGCTACGGCTGCAGTTTCCATGGAGACAGGGGCTGCTGGCGCACGGGTCTGTGAAAAACTGAAAGAGCGAGAAAATAAATAAAAACAGGAAGAGGCAGAACAAAAAAACATTATCATCCAACTGTGTTTTTCCACCTGGGTCTCTTTTTGACACGAAGAAAGCCCAAAATGTGAGCGTCCATGCTTCATTTTAAATGGGTCAAGGAGTGGGTCGTTAAAACACTGGAGAACAAGAGAGTGCAGTCATCACTACGCAGCTGCTTCTTTTATTGCTGTCTGACTCAGCTTCCTTCTTTACACCACTCATTTATTTATTGCATTACATTTTGTCTCCGTGTTCCTGATAAATTGTTGCAGGTGTGCACTTCTTCCTCCCTCGCTCCATTTTCACACACACACACACACACACACACACACACACACACACACACACACACACACACACACACACACACACTTTGTCCCCAGACAAGGTTTTCCCTCGTCATGCAGCAATGAAAAAAATGTTTCCCGACAGCCTCCTTCATGCTGGTTTCCACCCCCCCATCAATAATTGATCATATTTGCAGGTGAAAAGGACGAAGCCTAGCTCATGAAGCTTACTGCCTGACACTGTGTTGCCTTTCGCTTGGCTTTCAGAGCTTTCTTAGGCTTAAGAGCGTCTACAATCCTGTTGTCTCTCTTCTTTTCTTTTTTTTTTTTTTTAGCAAATTCACCCAGAATCACTCAGGTATCTGCAGCTCCAGCTGTCTGATTTAAATGTGTTCAGATAACAGTTTTAATAAAAGCCCAGAGAAAAGAGAGGGGGTGAACAGAAGGATGGTATTGATGCGTGTACCAAATCATCCAGATATAGATGTGCATGTGAATGTGCATGTGTGTGTGTCTGAGAGAAACAGTGAGAGGCAGAACAACAGAGCATCGTTAACAGTCTCTCCGCGACCGAGTAACAGCTCATTAGTGCTAATCTCTCTCAGGTTTTTACTCGCGATGCCTCTATCAAACATTGTCTTTGCTCTGAAGCACAGCAGTCCCGACCATCCCAGCACGCCACTCTCTGGTCTTTACACAGTCTGCCACTCTTATCTCCTCTCTAACGGCACCAGGGATTGAGTTTATCAACCTTTAGAGGACAGCGGCGTTGGCTCGTCTGGGTTAAAGGACACATTAGAGTCCAGCTCATGAGCTTTTTCATCTGTCGCTCTTGATTTCTCCTCCATCCAGACTGAACAGAATGTCCTCGAACACTTATACACACACTGTATAGTTATGGGAATAGTATGATCTCAAATTGCTTTTACATACATGCATAATATTTCCTTTCTTGTGCTTACTAGCGAATGCAATCAAGTCAGAAAATAGTGTGCATTATTTCTAATTATCGTTTAAGCTGTTTATCAAGTACACACGTTGGCCCCAGCACTTAAATTGTGAAAGTTTTACACGTGCTCTCTGGTCTCACCTGTCAAGGCCTGACAATTTACACTTTCCTCACTCCTATTGGCACAATATATTGAGATTGGGGACTCACATAATCCCCAGGTTATAACTCTTCAGTGTATATGGCAGCCATTTTCTATGGTGCCATTAGCATTCATGCACTCAGTTACTGACTGTCCTCCTGCACGATGTTGCTTCTCATTCTCTGGCCCCAAACGGCTCACATGCCCCGGGCTCTGGCAAACCATGCGAATCAATTTCCTCTAAGCAGCTGATTATAACTCACATCAGTCCCTTTATCTATATTCCTACATGGACCAACAGACTGAACAAAGACATTATCTTGGGCCAAATGAATTGCTTCTCAAGGTGCTGTGATCTACAGTATTTGCTAATTTGGGATGTTCACCCTGAGCAGGAAGGATTGATACAGCCGGATGGACGGAAACAGCAAAGCACTTAAATTGGTATCATTAATTTAAACTGGTGGAGGGGCTGGAGGAGTCTGTTGATGTAGACACCACACACACACACACACACACACACACACACACACACATCAATAGTTAAACAGAAAACTCTGCAAAAGGGTAATCTAATTTAGCAGTGTAAATTAAACACGTGACCACTACATTAGATGTCAGTCTCCACACAAATTTATACACTCCTGTTGGATTTCATGTTTCAAGCACAGCATCTTGAGTTGAACATATAAAAAGTGTGTCTACAGGGAATAATATTGATGAACATATGGAGAATCACATTTCACAATAGTAAATTAATGATGAATAAAATTTGCTTGGGTTTAAAGTCAGCTTTTCTCTCAAGAACACTTCCATTAGCGAAGTCTTTCTATTAGGACATCATGGAGCCATGAAATAAAGCGTCTTTATATGTTCAATCTGTAAGATCACTTTCATGATGTTTGCCGCTGTTGTGCTGAAGTGTTGAAAGCATTAAAGAGTAGACTGTTGGGCTACAGAGTTAGTAATCAATGAGACAAACGTGTAGGAAGCTTAAATAAGAAGAAGTGTCCTTGAGCAAGTCATTACAGTAAATCCCAACCAGCTCAGCAGATCTGAAGCTGCCCTCTGACCTCTGAGAGAGTTAAAAGAGAATTTCTCCACATATATTAAAATACATGTTTCAAAACCGCCTGCTAGCTTCCTCATACCAATTCTTTCCAGAAGCTGAGTTGAGTTTAAACTTATGATATTACAAAGTGCATGGTGATGATAAACAGAGGGCTTTATTAGAGAATGTGATGCAGTGAGGAAAAACAAAGCAGTATTTAAGAATGTATCCATTGCTCAGTGATTTTACAAACTGTTGCTGTTGCTGCCAAGGTTTCAAGAACTCAGAAAAACACATTTGTTTGTATCCGGACCATAACTGTGCAGCATGTAATCCTTCAAGTACAGCTAAAGGAAAAACAATAGCTGGAGTTGTGAGGGTTTCCCGTGTGTATCAGCCCAGCCGTCATAACTGGTCAGTTATTTGGTGGAGGCTGCATTGGGAATGTTTAAAGTTTTCCATCATCATTTCAATGGATTGAATATGGGGCCAAATGACAAGGGTGCCCACATACTTTTTGGACGGGTGTGTTTGTCACGGTTTGGGCTCAAGGAAGATCTTAATGTAACAGCAAACAATGATATTTTAGACAATAGTGTGCTTCCAACTTTTTAGAAACAGTCTTTTCTTTTACCCCATGCACAAAGCAAGTCCATGAGGAAAATGTTGTCCCTATTTGGTGTAGAAGAAAGTGACTGACTGACACACAAAGCCCTGACCTCAACTCCATCCAACACTTTTGGGATAAACTAGAACAACGATTGAGAGCAGACTTTATCGTCCACTAAATGCTCTTGTGGCTGAAGGGGAGCCAAACCCTTTCAAAGAAGGTGCAGTGTGTGCACATTCAACACCTAGTTTCGCACAGGTGGAGGAAGATAATTTAGAGTGGCTATCACCAACACTGCACCAAACCCGCCCAGCACCAAACAGCAAAAAGTCACAGTTAGCGACTAGCTGGTCAACTTTGTGGAGCGTTGAGCAGCTAAAGAGACAAAAAGCAGAGCTAAAAGGAGAGTTCATATCGGACTTACATTTGCCAGGTGGCCAGAAACTCCAAATAAATGATAATATTTCTTTTAACTGCTGGATGTAAACTGTTTCCTAACAAGTTTCTTATATCAACTTACAAGGTGATGATATGTCAGGGTTTACACTCGTTTATGTTTCCTCCAACGCTGTCACAGCTGCATATTAATGGGTATGCTTTAGGAATAAGTTAGTCAACAGTAAGACATGGGTACAATGTTTGAGAACTTTCTTTTACTATAGTAGAGAGTTAGCTCTGAAAAGGCCGATCAGCAAGTTCAATAAGCACCTGTGAAGCTACAACCCTGACGGAGCTGGAGCCGTTTCACAACAGCAGTTAACTGAGCGCTCCATTTCACCGGTTTATCAGCCACTTACTGTTTATGGGAGACTCATTTGAGCGGTAGATCATAATACTGCAGGGGTTCACTCTAACGGCCAGATCGTTCAGCTAATCGCACACATGCAATTAGTTGGAAGGGCAGCGATGGCTCACGCCGCACACGAAAATAAAATGTGCACGTGACGAAAATAATAAAGTTCCACACACACTAAGGGCTGAAAGACTGCACGAAAATAACTGATTAAAATAAATGGCTTTTCAGTATCGGCCTGCACAAGAGCACTCGAATACACATGTGAGCACAGGGAAAAGGGAAGGCGAGAAGCTGATTTGGTCACTCAGCATGTTGTCTGAAATTGTTCTCCAGCCCCTTTATAACCATCAAATGTGTTGCCATGGCTACAGTAGCTAGGTAACGTGAGCGCAATTAGCAAACAGTACTATACGCATTGTGTGTGTGTGTGTGTGTGTGTGTGTTTATTTCATGCCCCCACCGCATCAGTTCCAGGCACACACACACACTTTGTATCAATATTTGCCCAAAGAGTCATCAAGCTGCAGAGAGACAATCCATTTTATAATCCACTTACTGCCTCATCTGGGCTGTTTATCACCATTTGTCTCCCTCTGTCAGGGTGATAACACCCCCACTGTGGAGAATAGAGACAGATAGCATTTGCTTAATCCTTCACTCATGAAAACACTCGCTCACAAATTAGGAAAATATCTCCGCAGCAGCTCAGTGAAGAATAAATTTGTCTCGTTAATAGTCCCTCCTGAGACAAGGGGACACAGAGTGGTTCTCGGTAACATTGTGTCCGGACGAGTGCACTTGCTGTACACTGTAGGGATGCCACAGTGCATCTGAATCTGAGTGTCAGCTTGAGAAGGAGCGAACACTTAACAAGATAGATCTTCAAGAATAGTGTCCATTGTCCAAAGTGAATATGGTGTTACTACATTTAACTTTGCCTTGAGAAAGCATTTCAAACGGCAGTTTGAGTATTCGACCCGAGATGTCGAGAACTGTTGCTTCAGCTACCTGCAGATCGCATTTTCCTTTATCGAACCATCTCCAACAACAAAGCTGAATGAGAAAGTCTCACTAACATACGCTGAGGCTAATAGGAGGTAAACCCCAAAGAACCCACTGCTAGCCAGTCTTCTTTCTC